CAACATTGAACTACGTTCGTGAATCTCATTGGATAAATCGACGTCGTTCGCTGATTGGTAGTTACTGGTGCTTAAAGTTTAACTTGGCCCCATTTTGGGCCAGCGTAAAGAACAGACACCAACTTCAAACGACCTTGAAACAGCTAATCAGATTCTTCTAGGTGAAAAGTGGTACTTAATTTACAAATAAGTGTATCTACCCATTCGGTTATTTTGTTCGAACAAAATTAGATTCGTTATTAAGTACAAATAAATTATTTGTTCACATACAAATACTCACACTGAAAGACCTTAAGTGTGAGTAATCTCTAATGTTGCATTTCCCAGTAAACATACAAAAATAATTGAGTCGTAAAAGGCAAACCGTGTACTGTTGAACAAACTATCTACCTAAACACCTAGTGCATGTAACTAACACAACTAGTTTTCATAGCGTTGACAATTACACGCTATTTACTGGCAGTTGCATCATACATTTAGACAGCATTCATTTAATGAAATTGTCACTTACAGCAGAGATGTTCTGGTCACTCTTCTTCTTGTCAACAGCAACCTGTGAAAAATAATTTGCGTTTATTGATATTCATACAAAGGTTTGCAGTATAGTAACTTTAATGTAACAGAAACTTTACTTACTCTTGGCCGGCTACACCTTTTGTAGACACGATCACGTACGTTGTGGAAGTAGGCCTTCGTAGTATCTGTCAAAGCTTTTATAACTTCGTCCTCGGGCATCGTAGCAGAAGCGAACTTGCTGACAATGACGGCTGAAAGAAATATTTAAATAAAGCACGCTTACACGTTATAACTTTATAGAAGTGACATTTTAAGAGAGCTAGCTTCTTCGATGTTCCGTACGCAGTGAAGCGACTTGACAGCTTAGGCTCCCATATGTAATTCAGCATTCGTTTCAAGGAAGACTGCGGATTGTACGATAAATTCTCAGCCAGTTTTGTCATCTGAACGTAAATGAAGGTTAACAGTGAACTTACGAAAGAATCTCTGAATTTTGGGTTTCTCACTGAAGCTTCAAGTTGGTTAAACTCTTCTTCAGTCGTCAAGGGGAATTGCAGTTGACTATTGTCAATTGACGACTTCCCGGTTCCTAAGGTGGTGACGTCGCCAGACTTTTTTGCTGAAACAAACTGCCTCACCAGTTTACTAAGTGACTGCATTTCTTCTTGAAAGGAAGCCATTTTTCCATTCAAGAAATCAAGTTTTCCTTCAGTGGACTTCACTCTTTCGCTAAGGGAGTGCGACTCAGTCACCGATTTGTCATAGGAATCAGTGATTTCCTTACTGCAAAGTAACTAGTGATTAAAAATAACATACGTAGTCTGCCTATTTGACTGTGTGATTGGTGACGACGTCGCCACAGTCATTTGTGGACTGGAAGTGCTGAAGGAATAAGAATATTAAATGAATGCGCTACCTGGCTGTTGGTGCCATCACAGTGTCCATGAAATTAGTGTCTGGGTATTTAGATGACCAACACACCTTCTGTGCCTCCACAGCTTCCAGTTCAGCGGAGTCATAAACGTACGAGGCGGAGTTCTTTGTCCCCACTCTGTATTGTGTCATTAACGGATAAGAGGAATCTACCTTTGACGTTTTGAATTGGTTTGGGGCAATGTCTCCTCGAGATTAACTGAATTTGACATGATATTATGCAGTCTTTGTGCAGCTGACAAAGCACTCTTGGCTTCTGGAAAAGAGTCTATTTACGGGAATATAGTTAATACCAAAACAGTTACCTTGCTCTGCTAACGTCTGACAGTAAATTATGTACCAATCCGGTCTAGGATCGATACATGCTTCAACTTCGGAATCCGTGACATCGCTGTGATACACGCACATCTCATCCGACGGCATCCATTTTCTGGCGACTATGCACAAGTCCTTTGTACCCGTTTTTGTTATCACAGCGTAAGTTTTCCTTCCGTTCTGTAAGAAATAAGTAAATATGATATAAACGAAGTTTACAGTCTCATTAGTCCGCTTGTCACTGAATGCAGGAATGTCGGCGGTTGACGCAATCAGTCTAAGCAGTTTCTGGGAAAGTATGAGGCAACGGCACTGCTACTTCATACTTGTCTGTACGAATACAGAAGCACTTACAAGTGATAAGTGATGGCTTAATTTCTAGCGTGTAGGGGCTTAATTTGGAGCATTTCCATATTCCAATATTTGAGGACTTAAATGGCTGGTCGAAAAAATCACAAGCGTCCATATAAGGTCTAAATGTCAGTCTGTCATTGTGTATATGCGTTATACGACCAGGTTTACGGTAGGCTATGACGACGTTATCTGGTGGAGAGGAAGTGATAACTGTACGCTTGGTGTGAACTATTTGCCTATCTACATCTATTTCACATTCACCTATAAGGTTATCGCGTCTTGCTCCTGAATTGCAGTCGTGAAATACCTTTTCTGCAAATCTTTGCGCCGCCTGCTTAGCAATAGCATTGTTAGAATGGATGGAACGCCTAATTGTCTGCATATAAGACTCAAATGGGAACGCCGAAAATGATTCTAAAGGTCCCATTTCACGTACATCTTCCGCTAAGTGTTGCAGACAATGTATGTTATAAACTAAGTGCTCCCTGCCATAAATAAATTCAAACTTATTGAGGAAGTTGAGTAACTCATCTCGGCAACCTTCCAAGTAATTACGGTAAAACCTTTTGTTAGAAAGAAGGTAAACAGGTATACTAAGTCTTAGGAAGTTGCGGTATATTCCAGGTGGCATAGTGTCCTTAAGTAAAACAGGCCCTAGGTATAGGAGGAAGATGCGACATTCAGTGGCTTTCCACCGACTAACTTCGGTGAGCCCCCTACACTTTCTGGGGAAGTCCCTGGGTGTCATTCCAGCAGAAGCTAATATCTTCCCATCAATGCTTTCAAGCATCAGCCGGTTTACGTGCATTTCCTTCCTTTTAGCTAAGTCTTGCCAGAGACTTATAAGCTTCCTAACTACCCCTAAATAGACTAGGTGCATTGGGTCAAGAGGGAAGCACTTAACCATATCAATGTTTAAATCCTCAAAAGCACTCTGTCCACGGTGGTGACTTGACTGCATCCTTTGACGGAAGCTGTCATCAGTCCGGATTGGAAAAATTCCATTTCCGAATGTCATTCTGCCGTCAACTTTTCTTCCAGTAACTGTGCATTTGTCGCAACCTGCGCTGGCATTATGACCTACTATAAATTTCACGTCCGCTCTAGCCGGTGCATCACAGATGACGGCTGTCAAACGAATGTTGAAATGCCTATTCAGTTTGGTAATGTGTATGCCTTGACTTAATATATCCTTTAGCTCAGATACTAAGTCATTGCATAACTCTCTATAACTGCTCGGTTTGCTAGGACCACCGTATATACCTATCATGAATACACTACTTAGGAAAGGTGCCGTAATTCTACCTAACAGGGGCCATAACTGCTGGTTAGAAGACTTGGAGATGGACAATCCGTCGACATTCAACTGCAGCTCAATCGTCTTGTAGTGACTTTCAACCATGTAGTGCTGCAGGCATTTTTGGAGACCGATGTGGCAATACATTCCCTCTCCAAGTAGTCTAGACTCGCAAGAGCCACACATTCTGAGGACACTTCGAACACTTGTCGGTAGTTGAGGCAATTTCGCACGGAATACCTCCAAGATTCTGTTAGCGCCTGCTTGTGATAGGTTCGCGGTCACCATGATATTGAGTAGCATGCTTGTGATTTCATCACGTTCAGAAGAGACTTGTGGGCACATTTGTGAAGTACTAGCAGCTGGTGTTAGGCTGCTGCAAGGTGGCGATGGCACTACCTCGGTTTCAATGGTCATGGTATCAGTGTTCACTGAAGACGACTCGACTTCAACAGGAGGGACAGCATGTGTGACAGCCTCCGTTGACATCGACGCTAGTAACTCCGCATAGTTACGTTTATACCTTCTGTAAAATGTGGTATAATGGCAGGTCAATCGTAGGTTACGTTCACGTAATCTTTTTAGGCTTAATATAGGGTATTTAGTGTTAGACTAGGAGAAAAATTAGATATGAACCACACCGACCACTTACCTGCATCGTGAACAGTTTAAAAGTGCGCGCACACTGTGGGACTGTAAACCAGATAAACAAAAAAAAGGGTGCGCTGCAATTAACATTGACCACAGATGTTTCCATAAACTCTACTGATTGGCCAGTAAGCATGAACCCACATATGAAACCATATTCGTGACACGATATCCTGTGAGTCATACGAGTCACATGAGTGACATTATTCGCAAATACCTTGATCTCTTACATTATCACAGTCAAAGTGACAATAACAAGTCACAGGTGAATTTCTCAGTGTGACTGCAATGTAATGCTATTGGTCACTATTCTTAAAGTATCCACGTTTATATACAAACATATACATGTGTGTATGCGTGTGTGTCTGTCTGGATTAGTGTATGACAGAAAACGGTTTAGTTATCAGGAAAATAATACTACCATTATTACTTTTAAGTGTTAGCACTTACTTCTGTCTTCTGCTTTTAGGATGTTTTGAAAATATTCAACTGGAAACTGTGGATGTATAAATGTAATTATAATCACATTAAGAAAAACAT